CGCACTGGATCCGGACAATAAAGAAAAGAGAACAACATTCCGGAGTATTTGCCTTCAACTGGCTCAACGTGTTTACGGAATAACGGACAACTAGTGGAGGAAGGAAGATGAGCGAGTGCAGGGTCCTGCGGATAACCGATAACACAAGCAGTTTTACGAAACGTTCAAGACGATTTTCAGTCCATCCTTCCAGTCCACTGAAACACTAGTAGACGTGGACACCGGCTGTCCGTGCACTCAGCCAGAGGACATCACTAGAGTCTGGTGCAAACACTTTGGCAGCCTACTAAACCATCCTGCCACCATTGATTGGGTGGCGGTGAACAGCTTGCCGCAACATGACACCATATATTCGCTTGCTGTCGCCCCGGATTTACTGGAGTTGCAGAGAGAACATTCGAGTTCTGTCAATCGCTCTTCTCTTTCACTGTCGATTTAGCGTATTTTTCCGGCAGCTCACGACATATACCATTACTGTTGTCAAGCGAAAAAAAAACCATTCCCAATTCGTTGCCTTGATCAATTTTTGGATTAGATGGTAACTGTTACAATCTAGAACACACGTTAAACTGCGAGCTCTGACACGTAGTCAGCCCAGAGTAGAATGAGAACACGTGACGGTAATAGCGCGTAGCTTTATCGAACACAAGAGCATGAATCATATCAACGATGTAGGCATAGATAAGACAAGCAGTCACCCAATCGATTGTGTTGGTAACACGACTGGATCGTTCGGGGCCAGGGTGGGAGAGAGCGGGACACACGCGTACACGGGTAGAGAGGTGACGTGCGGACAACGGCAGGCGCGGATGCCACGGCCGAGTTATCAGGTGTTTACCTAGTGGCCAAGGTAAACATCGAAAATGAACAAATCTGCTCTAAGCTCATCTTTCCTACAACTTGTTACACAGTTGGTCTGATGATAGCTGATAATAGGCCGTTCGCTAAATTACCTTCAAATACCCCTAACCGCCTCAATGTCAAAGTTCTGAGCATCATGAAAGCAGTCTAGATTCGGTCACCTAATTTGGAACAGTGCGCTTCAAAGACAGTTGTTCGGGCTGCATATTAACTCTGGTCGGGCGTCCAACACCAGAAGACTCGGGAAATCAATTTTATCCCCTAGGCAACTATCAGGTGTAATTATGTGACAAGATGTAAATGGTTTTGTGAGCGTAATAATCAATAGGATATAAATTGTTACGTAGTTCTTCTCATGAGGAAAAATCAAGAGCAGATTGTTGATCAAGTTGTGTTTTGCTTTGCAATGAAATTATGCATGTTGTGTAACATGCACTCTCGTTTGTGAGTGGTATAGTGCGTGCATTCGGGAACTGAAAGACAAGTCTAAACGCCAGGATGACGAGGGACCAGAAGCGACTATTGGAACAGTGTGTATGCACTATGGGGAACGTGTCACAAAGACGGATGACAAGGCACTGCTGTCCAAAGTGTATGGACACACGTAGACCATGCAAATAAATGTACGTGTTCGTTGTCCTATCTTTTCGGAGAAATTGTAAGGGGTTGCGTACAATAAGCAACTTCGCGGGCAACCCATCTTTTGTGGTCACAACAGTGCACAGCTTAGAAGTGCCGCTGATTTACATTAGTACGAGCATAGTTGTCTGAGGACGAAACGCCGAAAACGAACTTGGTTACCACGAAGCCTTTTAATAAACGAGGCCTAAGTTTCGCGCTTACTCTAGACTCAGGTTACTCGGAGGTTGATTTGAGCGAGAAATCGGGGAGAAATCGTAATTTACGGAGAAGAGCCAACACAGACTAAGACAATCTATTGCACTTCATTTCCGACTCACTTTATGTGCTGTCCAAGCTGAAGTGACCGAAACACCACTTCGATGGAAGTGCCCAGCTGTTAACTTTCATTCAGACTGACAGTTTCAACTGGCGTTTTGATCCTCAGATGATTTGCTGGCTGTGCCGGGGTTAGTCGGCTACTTCATTAAATATAAGTGCTCTTTGGTCACTCTGAGTAAACAAAATGATCTCAGTTACGACGCGCAACACGGCGCTCACTTAAAAGTCAAACAAGTACATCGACGGGACATAAGCATGAACCGACCGTGACAACAACCCTGGAACCTGTCATGGGGTGATCAACACAGCCGTCGGTCAAGGCCGAAGCCAAGCTACTGAAGCCAAGCTGCTGAAGCCAATTGCTGTGTTGATTTCATATATAATTCCCATTGACAAATATACAAGACACTTTTGGCGTGACTCGTTGCTGAGTCTTTTGAAATCCGTCGGGGTAGCTTGAGGTCGTATTCATCAACGATACAACATATACAATAACCATAAATAGCTCACAATGAGAACGTAATATATTTTGAGTAATTCACCAAGGACCTTCCGTCAACTAAAGTCATTGTTTCCAACAGATTCTCGTGAACAGCTAACGCGTGGCTGTTTCCGGCAGCTTCATGACACGTGTGTTCTGGTATTCATTTAACGGTCTAGGACAGAAAATAGTTGGGACTCAATTATTACGTAAACTACACCTCACACATGGATTCAGTTTGATGGGTTAACGATGAAACCAAAGATAAAATTGAAGTACTCAGCTGGTAGCAAGCGCACGTGTCAGATAGTTCGAGATAGGCTTCATAAGAAGAATTTCATCGTATACTACGATGTGTAAATATCAGAAATCAGTATCAGTATCACAAAAACCGTCCAATATTCGAAACCTGTTGCTTTTCTTGTTATAAACACAGATCATATAGAAATCACTTAGAGTTCATCTGTATTCAGTGGCGTTCCTACGATTGCCAATGTATATGCAACATTAGTTCACTCAGACTGGTAGTGGAATACCTGCGCTTAATGTCTTAATTTACTGAGATTTTTCGAAATAGGCTTTCGGATAATGTAAGACATGTGTAATCAACGATCAGTGTTTGTGCGATCACAAGCTAGCAGAATATGATCGAAGTGATGTGTATGTCGGTTGCCTCATGGAGTTTGTGGTCAAGACTGGATGGAATAGAGTGTCTGTGTTCAAGTCAGACACTGATTCGTATCCTATGTCCATGGTCAGAAACTTGGTCCTTTTTATGCTGTAGATCAGCTTCGAACTGGAATAATGGACATCAACCCACTAACTAGATGTGACTGTATGCACCAGATTACGAACAAGAGGATACATTTTTCGGAAATGACTTATACGACCGGCGGATAGCAGTCTGTTTAGAACGTAATCAACAGGTATGGACGCAATGTGCTAACACTTGTTCACCGGTCATCAGAGTCACACTGGTAGTGTGTCCTAGGGATTGGGAACTACTACGACCTTGTATAACGGATGCCAATTTCAAACCGCATCCGATGGGTGTAGACAATCTCGAAATCGTTTTCAGGTGCTGGGCTTCCCAGCAAGCAGTGTGTGGCTTGAACACCCTTTGTATTTCCCCGTGGCTGTTGTCACACCCTCTCGTCCACCGCATTACGTGCCACACAGTTCTCGTAGTTTGGTCTGAACGATACCATGCTCCCACCTGCACACGCACACGTTGTCCGGTGTGAAAGGTAGCAAACAGAGCTTGCTTCCATAACCCTTGCGTTATGGTTTTCGACTTCTTGTCTGTGTTAGCATACGGCAGAGAAATTCGACAACAAGAGCAACAAGCCAAATGATTTTGGATTACTATACTTCCATTCGTGCCAGTTGAAAGCTACAGACAGCCACAGTATTGCAGTGCTAATGAGCGTTTGGCTTATCACTAGGGTGTGACATATCAATAGTCCAATTTATGCCTATATTAACCATGGTTTTTATTTGGCCAGTAAATAGAGAACAAAAGACTTGACGAGCAAGCCGTAATGCTTTTTTTGTCTGGCTCCTTTCAGGGGTATTCGTGTGACATGTTTCCTCATCCTATTGAAAAGAATAAACATGACAAAGCACATTTTACTATTTAATTATCCACCTGACTGGCGTGCGCCGATAGTGTAGGGGTATCATGCAACCCTCCCACGGTTGCGACCCGGGTTCGAATCCCGGTCGGCGCACTGGCGTTTTGCCGTTAGGACACTTCGGCTGCTGATGGCGTGACGACGATGTGCCGCTGGGGCTCACCCTATATTGCGTGTCCCATTCAAGATTTCAGAATCTAATTGTTTTTGTTTCGCGTGTTGTACTTTTGAAACGTAGAACGCTACATAGCTCTATTAAACCTTGGCTTGTGAAAGCTGGGAACGCTCTCCCCGTAATACTGGGTGGAAGTGTGACCGATGAGTTCTGTTTTGACATGGTGATACATATGCAAGAATATTGCGCCAATGTAGACGGCCATGTAGTTTTTTTCCCCTGTTTTTGTTGCGTTCTATTTGCGTATGCACCGTTCTGAGAATTTTAAACAAGCAATAACTTAGTTATTGTTTAGTTAGCGCTACTTCGTAATTGACATTTCAGTTACTATGGAGCAACCACTGATGGAGCATCCTGGTTCGGTTTCTGGTGCAGCTTTCGTTCTGTTAACCTTGGAAATCTTGCTACATTGGTGAGATGCCCGGGAGTATTTGTGAAGGCAGATGAAGCTGATCGTGTGGTAATTGCAGGTCCAATGCAACTTTATTTCGTAAACGTTGTTTGGAGTGCTTCAGGTGCAATATTGTTCTGAATTCGAAGTGACGATGAATTTCGAGTGAAGTGCATCTTTCAATGGTTAAAGTCGTCAGTCACTTTTCGGTCTGTCTGCTGTAGAAATGAATATTTTCTCCGGCGATCTGACTGAATATACCGCCCGGATACTGTAGTGATCTTACGTCGCGCGCATTCCTCCCATATATTTATTTACTTTACCACATATACCTCTCCTTCGATGGATTATAACAGGATCTTCCATTCTATAAACGAACAGATGCTTGCACGTATTCAGTAGCATGTACTCCTCTTAAATTCCATTGGTTAAATCGCCAGTCCTGACATTTTCTCTTAACTGCCGATAAAAAGTCATTGGGTTGTTCATATCCACTGATAAACTGCGGAGCGTGCCTCCTCGAAACGTCGTAGTTCCGACGACAAGCCCAATATTTTGAATTTTCCCAAAGGACCTACAAAGCGAGGTAGAGCGATAAGGTTTGATTATGAAATGTCATGGCCTCCCTAATGTAGTGATACACTGAAGGTACCGCATCTTAACGTAATCCGTAGGAAATGGCGTGGTGAACGACCGGACAACAATCCATGTTTAGAAGCGTACGAAGTACAGTGAACCGCTGTTGGCATCTGTTGTTTATTCGAAACACCTAATAATCTTAAACTAGCTGACCTACTTGGGAAGAAGCTTACCGGAAAATTCTGTTTGTCACAAAGATTCCCATGACAAGTACGAGCCCAGAAATCTCAGCAGAACTGCAGTCATACGAGGATACTCGTTTTGCTCGTAACGAGATAGTGAAACAAACAGGGTCGGGTTTATTAATTTGTCTTCTGATTTATTGCGACGTAACTCCGCAGCTCATGCTTAGCATTAAGATGTAGAAAATTTCAGCTCTTACACAACAAACCATCGTCTGCTCTAGTGAGAGACAACAAGACGCGAAGAAGGTAGTTTGTAGTAATCCTCAATATGAAAAGTCGCATACTTGAAACTACCGATGAATGGTCACGTGCGCACACACGCCTGTGTGCAATAGACCAGTCATAACGTTGATGAGTAGGTTGTTAGCAATGATGTGTGCTTTTTGGCTAGAACGAGAAAATGACCAAACTGCCACTAGTTCTGTGCAAGGTAAGTCATGGATGTAAGTTTGGAACCGGGAGAAAATCTACTCGAGGAAGACTACTTTTGAATTTGTTATCTTAGTTGTGTGCATCTGACGTCATAAAATAGACTACTGAACATTGTAACAAACGTTTCGGTCACTACACCTGTGCACATTCGTTGGACACAGTGATTCGGACAATTAACTGGATTATTTCATTTCATGGTTGTTTCGGGTCTGTTTTTGCTTTCCATGCCCCGACATAGACATCGGTCGATCGACCAACTATAGGTTGCGCACGACCATGCATATACGTCAACACCGTCTCAACCGTGCCTGACTAAGTGGTGCATCCCAAATCACCTGTCACCAGAGTGCGTCCTATTAGTATGGACCAAACAAAAAAATCCAGGGGCCGAACCAAGGTGCTTGGCCCGATTAACGGTCATGGCTCGGACGTGTGTGACGCGTCAGAATGTTTGAATTTTTTCTATTCATACCGGCGCCAAGACCAAAGAACAGGCCTGATGACAGAATAGGGTGGACTAACGGGCAAAACATACG